CAGACACACACACACACACACACACACACACAGACACGCTCACACACACACACACACACACACCAGGAAAAAGGCTTTCTAAACAACACAGAGATTAACATCAGCTCCAGATCAACTGAAGTTCAACTGCGGAAATATTTACTACAAAGTTACTTTACAATATATGGGTGAAACCTGTCAAGAACTTCTCTGAGTCATATTTCATCTCAAACTCAAGACCGAATTAAAACCAAGGCATGTTTTCTCACACATTACAGTTGTTTTGAAACCATGGCTCCTTTTCTCTAAACTCTACACACAAAACCACACAACACGCAAAACATGACGCAAAAGCAAACACTTCTTACAAATCTGTTTTAAATCTTATAAAAATTATAAAAATCTAAATTCCTCCCAAAACCAAGATCAAAATAAAACCCAGGCATGTTTTCTCACACATTAACAGTAGCGATGCACTGAAAATCGTGCAACCACACTGCAAAAAAATGATTTTCCAGGACAAATATCTACTGTAAATATCTATTCTTAAATCAAGATTTACCTGAGTAGGAGAATGGTGCGACACAGGTAACACATTTGTGTTATAAAAACGTTGTGGGAACATTGTTTTGAAATGTTTCTAAAATGTTAAAATGTCCAGTTTTCTTGTCGTGAAAATTTGACTAACTTTAGTTTCGCCCAAAATATTAAAATTTTTATTTTTAATATTCTACGATCGTTAAAATGTACAGGTTTCTTGATGCGATTATAACCTTATTTAAAGGATTTACAAGAAAAACCGTTCAAAGTACAAATAACATCATAAGCATGTTTTGAGAATGTTGTTCTAAGAATGTTTTTTCCTCAACATTATGAGAATGTATACAAAATATTAATAAATTCAGTTTTTAATAGTGAAAGTTGTGAAAATCTCCCCTGTTGGTCAGATACTAAGTCCTGCTTTCTGAAAAATGTATCAAAGTTAAGTGAGTTTATGATTAAAACAAGACAAAAAATAAATTTCATTTCGATGCATTTTTCAAGACTTAATATCATTTTCCTCCAATTGAGTTATTTTGCATCTCCGGTAAATGCATCCTGATTTAAGAATGTTTAGATATTTGTACTGAAAAACAAGACAGAAACACTGAGGAAGAACAGTTTTTGAAATAGTTTAGGAAGCTGAAATCATTGGGCGTAACAGTGATGTTTAATTAGAGTTTCTCTGAAGGTGTGTTTTGACTGTGCGTGTGGAAACCATGGATTAACAGAAGTGAAGTTTGCATCACTGATGAGAAGCGTGCAGTGGAGCCGCTCTTACCTGCGTCCTGCGCCGTGATGATGAGCGTGTACTTGTCCTGAGTTTCCCGGTCCAGCGTTCGGATCAGGTTCAGCTGACCTCCGGATGTGAGGCTGAACGCTCCCGCCTCGTTCCCGCTGCTCAGAGAGTAGCTGATCTGACCGTTAGAGCCCAGATCTTCATCACGGGCCAGCACCTGCCACACAACACAAACCTCCTTTAAGATCCGCACAAATAAAGTCAATACACATTATAAAGCGGAGCGTTCCGGTCCTTGATTCTGATTGGCTGAGCCAAGTTCGAAGCTGTTGTAAATTACTCTACAAACATACACCTTTGTTTACGTTTGTCTGTCGCTCGGCAATTTTATTTTGTGAAACCTTACCAAACGGTTTACGTTGAATTAAATGCCAGTCCAAAATACCAAAAAAGATTTTATGCGTAATTCAGGACTTTTAATTATTTATAAACAAGTCTGAAATACATGATTTTGAAATGTCTGTGCTGTGCTACTTCCAGCTGCTCATTCATAAAGACGATGGAGCTAAAATATGCATACAGCATACTATTATATAAACACCATCAATTAAACACGGTCATAATTCCCCAACAGTACACCATAAGCAATCGTTTGGCATAAACGCGTGATATTGACTCTGAACTGCTCGGAAGAAAACCCTGAGACTTATTTTACTTCAGCCAGTTTCCAAGGAAGCATTTCTCATTTTCATTTAGCTTAACTTGATGGACTAAAATAACTAAAGCTAAAATAAATATATAAATAAAAAAGACCTAAAAAATTAAAAATGACAAAAACAATTACTGATTTTAATTACTAAAAACATTTTGTAAAAGAAAATTACAAAAACGGAAACAAAAAATAAAAACTAATACTAAATATTAATGTTATGTCTCTCTCTCTCTCTCTCTCTCTCTCTCTCTCTGTCTCTCTCTCTCTCTCTCTCTCGCTCTCTCTCTCTCGCTCTCTCTCTCTCTCTCTCTCTCTCTCTCTGTCTCTCTCTCTCTCTCTCTCTCGCTCTCTCTCTCTCGCTCTCTCTCTCTCTCTCTCTCTCTCTCTCTGTCTCTCTCTCTCTCTCTCTCTCGCTCTCTCTCTCTCGCTCTCTCTCTCTCTCTCTCTCTCTCTCTCTGTCTCTCTCTCTCTCTCTCTCTCGCTCTCTCTCTCTCGCTCTCTCTCTCTCTCTCTCTCTCTCTCTCTGTCTCTCTCTCTCTCTCTCTCTCGCTCTCTCTCTCTCGCTCTCTCTCTCTCTCTCTCTCTCTCTCTCTGTCTCTCTCTCTCTCTCTCTCTCGCTCTCTCTCTCTCGCTCTCTCTCTCTCTCTCTCTCTCTCTCTCTGTCTCTCTCTCTCTCTCTCTCTCGCTCTCTCTCTCTCGCTCTCTCTCTCTCTCTCTCTCTCTCTCTCTGTCTCTCTCTCTCTCTCTCTCTCGCTCTCTCTCTCTCGCTCTCTCTCTCTCTCTCTCTCTCTCTCTCTGTCTCTCTCTCTCTCTCTCTCTCGCTCTCTCTCTCTCGCTCTCTCTCTCTCTCTCTCTCTCTCTCTCTGTCTCTCTCTCTCTCTCTCTCTCGCTCTCTCTCTCTCGCTCTCTCTCTCTCTCTCTCTCTCTCTCTCTGTCTCTCTCTCTCTCTCTCTCTCGCTCTCTCTCTCTCGCTCTCTCTCTCTCTCTCTCTCTCTCTCTCTGTCTCTCTCTCTCTCTCTCTCTCGCTCTCTCTCTCTCGCTCTCTCTCTCTCTCTCTCTCTCTCTCTCTGTCTCTCTCTCTCTCTCTCTCTCGCTCTCTCTCTCTCGCTCTCTCTCTCTCTCTCTCTCTCTCTCTCTGTCTCTCTCTCTCTCTCTCTCTCGCTCTCTCTCTCTCGCTCTCTCTCTCTCTCTCTCTCTCTCTCTCTGTCTCTCTCTCTCTCTCTCTCTCGCTCTCTCTCTCTCGCTCTCTCTCTCTCTCTCTCTCTCTCTCTCTGTCTCTCTCTCTCTCTCTCTCTCGCTCTCTCTCTCTCGCTCTCTCTCTCTCTCTCTCTCTCTCTCTCTGTCTCTCTCTCTCTCTCTCTCTCGCTCTCTCTCTCTCGCTCTCTCTCTCTCTCTCTCTCTCTCTCTCTGTCTCTCTCTCTCTCTCTCTCTCGCTCTCTCTCTCTCGCTCTCTCTCTCTCTCTCTCTCTCTCTCTCTGTCTCTCTCTCTCTCTCTCTCTCGCTCTCTCTCTCTCGCTCTCTCTCTCTCTCTCTCTCTCTCTCTCTGTCTCTCTCTCTCTCTCTCTGTCTCTCTCTGTCTCTCTCTCTCGCTCAGGGTAGATCAGCAGCACCTGCAGCTAGTTTGTGAGAGCGTGTCTGAAGAGTATATTGGGGTTTGCACGGAGAGACACACTTCTCCTCTTTGAGCTTGTTTCTCAGTTTTAGCAGGAACTGTTAAGGGATCTTGTTCCAGTTTGAGATTGAGCAAAAGGTATTGTGGCTTTATTTATTGTGATTCTAAACACTAGAAATCAGTGTTTCCCAACCACTGTGCCGTGGAAAATTATCAAAACTTTCCATCTCCATTACATTTCGTTATTATTACTATTTTAAATCAATGCTATTGGTCACCTTTACGTCTGTTTGTGGGTTTTACAAATATTTAACCAGTGAAAAGCATTCAAAAGAGCTTGTGACTAAACCTTTTAATGCCATTGGATCCTCAAACTTTCATTAAACCTCAAAACTCCACCCGCTTCCATTCAGAATAAATGGTCTGGAAACTGATGTTTGAATAAGTACAGTTATGTTTTTTGTGTTTGAAGAGTGGAGAAGAGTCTTAGCATTTGTCACTGGTCAAAAACCTCACAACTACATTTAAACTTGATTTTCATAATGTTAATATTATAATGGCACATGCAAGTGTCTGATCATATATATATATATAAAGCCACAATACCAACTCTGATGACGCTATTTAATTATTAAAAAAATATATTTATTTATTTATTTACATTTCCTGAAAGTGGTTTTGGACATACAAGGTTTCCGCCCGACAGTTTTATCATCACAAACAACATAAGGCTACCTGTGTGACCTTGTGTTCATACCTGACTTAAGCTCAAGTTTCCAGAAATCACGCCCGTCACCGAGTCGATCCGGAAGTCCGAGTTGGCGTTCCCGCCGGCGATGGAGAAGCGTATCTGGCCATTGGTTCCCTCGTCGGCGTCGCTGGCGAACACCTGCACGACATCTGCGCCGCTGAGCGTGTTCTCCTCGATCTCGATGTCGTAGATGTTCTGCGAGAAGCTAGGTGTGTTGTCGTTCACGTCCAGCACGATCATAGTGACCTCCATGCTGGAGGAAAGCGGCGGCTCACCTTTATCCGTGGCCACGATGGTCAGAGAGTAATTGGCCATCTCCTCGCGGTCCAGTTCGCCCACCAGAATCACGCCGCCGTCGATGTTCCCGATGCTGAATTTATTCCCAAACGGCGCTTTGAGGGAATACTCCACATAGCTGTTGGGGCCGCTGTCGGCGTCGCTCGCCTGCGCTCTGAACACTAGCGTATCCACCGGCGTGTTCTCTTGAATATACGCCGTCGTTTGCGACGTGAATGAAGGCGGGCAGTCGTTGACGTCCAGGAGGATGATAGACACCTGTGTGGTGCTGGTGAAGCGGCTCAAGGGAGGCAAGGCCAGGTCGTTCACGGTGATGACCAGGTTATAAAATGACTGCGTCTCTCGGTCCAGAGCGTTCCTGGTCTGTAAGACGCCGGTGTTTGTGATGGAGAACTGCGAGTGCGGGTCTCCTGAAGCGATGGTGTAATGCAGCTCCGCATTCGGCCCTGCAAAACAACACGCATGTTATTATATTTGTGGCCCTGGAGCTCAAAACCAGTCATAAGGGTCAATTTTTTTTAAATTGAGATTTATGCATCATCTGAAAGATGAATAATTAGCTTTCCATTGATGTATGGTTTGTTAGGATAGAACAATATTTGGCCGAGATACAACTATTTGAAAATCTGGAATCTGAGGGTGCAAAAAAATCTAAATATTGAGAAAATCATCTTTAAAGTTGTTCAAATGAAGTTCTTAGCAATGCATATTACTAATCAAACATTAAGTTTTGATATATTTACGGTAGGAAATGTACAATATCTTCATGGAACATGATCTTTACTTAATATCCTAATGATTTTTGGCATAATAGAAAAAACTATAATTTTGACCCATACAATGTATTGTTGGCTATTGCTACAAATATCCCCCAGCGACTCAACACTGCTTTTGTGCTGCAGGGACACATATGTTCATTAGTAATCTGAACAATCTCAGAAGTCAAAAAAATCAATTATAAATTTCTAAAATAAAAATAATAGATGAAAAATATTTTTAACATTATTTTAGTATCTCTAAAATACTTTTTATTAATATTTTGAATCAGATTAGATTTTTTTTATAGTTTTTCATTTTATTTATTTATTTAGTTTTTTTTTTTGTTGTCATTTTAGTAGTTTGTTAATTTTTATTTTAGTTTTAGATATTTTAGCACATCATTAAAATGAGAAAGGTTAAAATAAACTAGCTAAAATAAAGTTTAAATATTTTAGTTTATTACAAGTAATAAACTTTTTTTTTTTTATGGTTATATTTTAGTTTCAGTTTTAGTTTTGTTTAAATATAATAACTCTTAAACTAAGCCAAAATTAGAAACCGAAATAAACTGAGTCACTAAAACTGCTAACTGGAAATACATACAAACTAAAATAAACGTGAATTAAACCTAAATATACATTTAAAAAATAAATAAAAATTATATAAAAATACACGCACATAAAAATAATTAAAAACACATAAAAAAAATACAAAAAAACCCTATTTCAAAACATTAATTAAAATGATAATAGCATATAAATAATACTAAAATAACTGGTGACATTTACATGTTCTCGTCATCGGAGAACTGTGAACACGCAAATGTGAAATAATTGAAATATCAGAGCAAATAAATCAAGTATATATATATATATATATATATTACATTCAACTAATATTAAATATAAATACAAATATTAAATATTCAAGTAAATAAGTTCGGCTGACAAAAAAAAAGTTTGGGAATCCCAACATCGGAGCATTGTGTTGCGAGTCGGTTATTAAACAAACTTTGATTGTAAAACTGCACAGATTCTTTTTACAAAATATCTGCTCTGCTTCCTTTTATTCATTTTGATATGACCCAGACATGATTTAGTCAGATTCACCCAAACACTGCCTGCACTAAACTAACCGCAGTCTCTACTAGACGACTAGCAGGAGTATGCTGCAATATGCTGAAATTAAATAAACAAAGGTAATGTTTTTAAAAACAATTACATTCAATAGAGTAAGGCATTTCATGCTATAATATTAGCATTGGTCAATGTTATTACACTGAAATATGATATTAAATGAATACATGTAATTTAATGTTGTCGAAAACTGCAAAAATATTGTTAAAATCATTCAAAATGTGGCAAGATGTAGAAAATTTACTACTGCAAATAATTGTGTGTGTGTATATATATATATATATATATATGTGTGTTTGTGTG